AGAAAATAAACTTCTAATGAATTGAGAAAAGAAACAATCAACTAGCACTCCTTCAAAAGGATTCTCATGCAAAGTAAAGAAGCAGAAGTGAATTGTAAAATGAAGTTGGCCAAGTTCTACTCTTTGTATGAGTATTTTTAAAATTGACAAAATTCCGTGAGTCAAGTTGGTCGAGGTTTTGGTCAAATGTTTTATAGATTGAAAAAAACTAAGCCGGTTGTCATCAAGTTCCTTGAAGATAGGATTGAATTGAAGATCTTTGAAGAAGCTAAACCTAAATTCGTAACAATCGAACACCGGTTAGGTTGGGTAAGTGACCTAGATACCTTAGTTGACCACGAGCTTAATTGGTAAAACTGATTTGAGACTTGATCTATGTAATGTATACTTAGCCTTATTCTTTTTGTATGAAAAACGTGATTTTAAATGCAATTAAGGTTTCAGTATTGACCACAATCAAGCAATGACTTAGGACGCTTGATTGATTGCATTTGAACCATGTTCAGAAAGATTCCAGTAGCAGGCGTTCACTTGACTCTTTATACTTGCTCGAGCGAGGCTTTGCAAGAACAGGGGGAGACCTAAATTGTAGACACTCACCCTCAAATTTAGAGCCTCTCACTATAAAAACTAAACCCTAGGACGTCTAATACAAACAAAGATCACAAGGGGGAGACCTGAGAGAGAGAGAGAGAGAGAGAGAGAGAGAGAGAGAGAAACCGTAGCACTTCTTCTGTGATTCTTGTTGTTCAAATCAAGGGAGTTCTAGCCTTTGTTCTTGACTAGAGATCTTGGCCAAATCCTTGTCTTATCAAAAACCAGTTAAGAGTATTTGTGCGACACTGCGAGCACATAGTCCCTATAATTTCAAGGAAAGGAGTTTCTAACACACAAAAGCCAATATGCTGACTGTCTTGAAATTCTGAGTTCGAAAATCTAAAGAGGATGACTCAACAAACATTCAAAATACGGAAAGTGATCCAAACCATCATCAGAGGAGCCGGTGTTGGACACAAATTGAACATAAGACAAGAGGATAGCTTACAACTAGTAGGAATTGCAAGTATTGAGTCTATATGCTGATTCAATAGGGACAGTGCATACAAGCCATCCCAAGCCCAGATAAAGTAGTATGGTTGCGTTAGGTAACTGCCGGTCAATGTAAAACTCATTAGACCAAATATGAATATGAATCCAAAGAATATGTGCGTATATACTAGGACATTCCCTTCCCAAGTATTTTGGAAAGTGGGTGACGCGAGCCGCATTTTAGTTGCCTAGATGCACTAAAAAATTTGCAAGGGTTCCTAAATCACTCCGGATGATCACGGGTAAATAAGTTGGTCCAAAATACTATACTTAAGTTAGTGTAGAATATTTGGTCATTTCAATTAAGGGTATTTTTGTAATCTTCACTTTATTATGAGTTAATATAAATATGGGTGACAAGAGGAGAGGTTGATTAACTCACTCTCTTTAACCCTAGTTTCTAATCTCTTCTCTCTCTCTTGAATCTTCTCCTTACTAAACCCTAGATCTTTAAATTTCAACTTGGTATTAGAACGATCAAACGAAAGTTCCAAGTCACAAGAACACTCATGAAGGCATTGGGAGGCTGCTGCGTTGCTGATGTCATCGTCAGAAAGATGAAGTCATTGCTAGAATTTTCCAAAACCAACATTTCTGAGTCGGTTTTGTCTCCTAAGTATGATGGTAATTTTTCTAAAATTTTTTGAAGCCATCTGAAGTATTTTTCAAATTTTGAATGTTTTTTTAGATTTTCGAATCGTATTTTGTGATTTGCGATTCGACTGAGATCCAAAGTGTTCCAATGCCCAAAATGGAACTTGTGGATGTCAACTAAGCCTTCTAGGAGCTTTGGTGGAGTTCCGTGCAAAGCCCATTGATTTCTGGGCATTATTACCCTTCGACAATGAGTTTTTCTTCCTCGGGACTAGAATTTTTCTTCCAATAGTAGTTGTTTGCTCGACAGTGACACCTTTTTGCTCCAATAATGGTGATTTACTCTGGGCAGTGGTGCTTTGGCTTCAATGGTGATTCTCTGGTCTTACTTGGTTTCGACAATGACGGGCTTGTGCTCTCCGGATAGGGGTGTTCACCCTATCCTACGGATAGGAAATATAGTCTTCCATCTTCCTACCCAATCTTTTGCGGAAGAATTTTTTTTTACCCTACTCTATCTGATCAGGTGTGGTATTCCTACCCGACTTCCAACCCGATTAATCGGGTAAACATTTTTGTAGCTATTAATTTTTGGATCATTTTAACAATTCAATTAAATAACATACACCAATTTAACAACACAATAAATCAATAATACTAAAACCTAAAACAACTACAACAACAATTATAATAAAAAACAAGAAATCATGAACATCAATCCATTATAATTGTTACATAAATACAATAACAATTATTTTAATTTTAAACTATATAAAACATATTAAAATCATAATTGCTCCAATAGATCATTAGTTCACTACAAATCATGTAACCTACACAAAAAAACAAGTCAATATTTTAACAACTCAAACATCTACAACAATGATAATGTTATATTATAAATTATACCACACAAATACTCTTATAATTACTAAAAAAAATATAAAAAAGTTAAATACATTTTTTGACGGTAGGGTAGGGTAAGAATGCGAAAATTGATAGGTATTCTGCATTCCTACCCGATTTAATCGGAAGACTAAAAACTCTTCCGCATTCCTACCCGATTTTTGTGGCTAACCGTTTAGTAGAATAGGATAGGGTCGGGTAGGGTAGGAAATTGCGGCCAATCGAAAATTTGAACACCCCTATCTCCAAGTTTGGACTTTGTATTTTTCTTTACTTATGGTCTCATTGAAAGTTTTTTTTTTGAAGTATTGGCTGCTAGGTTTTGTCCTTTGCGTGTCTAGTTGCAAGTTTGGTCCCTTTGTGAGTTGGGGTAATCCTAAAATTGCTATCCAATAGTTTGCATATGTCAAAAAAGTTCTCTTTTACAAAGAATATATGTCTAGAGTTGGTGCAGAATCTACTAGCACTGAGAAAAGTATAGTGAGTCGTGTAGAGACTCTTGGATATAACTCTTCTCCCCAGATTAGTCCAATAAAATTGGATGGGGGCAACTATTTGGTCTAGTCTCGATCATACCTGTTATCAGTGCGGACAAGTGGACTAAATGGATACTTGATAGGAGCAAGTAGAAAATTAAAATCTGAACCTGATCTTAGAGAGTATAAATATAAATGATTATTTTTTACAGAGATTTGTTTGTTTCTTGACAGATTCCTTGCAAGGATGAGATAAACTCTCATTTCTTCTCTTCTTTTTCTCTTTTTTGTTTATTCTTTGATTTCTACTCCTTCCATCCTGCATTACTGATATTGAGAACTATACAGAGAAAATGATGTTTTTGATCTGAAAAAAAAAAAAAAANGGTAAACTCTCATTTCTTCTCTTCTTTTTCTCTTTTTTGTTTATTCTTTGATTTCTACTCCTTCCATGCTGCATTACTGATATTGAGAACTATACAGAGAAAATGATGTTTTTGATCTGAAAAAAAAAAAATTGATGAATTTTGTACCATTTGATCAAAATAAATGAAAATTATATCGATCTTAATCTTTGTTGTGCCTTTAAAAGTTTAGAATTCAACTTCCTAATTTTGATATTAGATAGATGTTTTTTTTTTTGGGTAAATGATATTAGATAGATGTTAGTTCATCTTTGACAAACTACTTTAGACAAATTGCTTTACTAAGGAAAGGATGAAAGCTTGCCACCTGTCACTAGTTTGAAGCGAAGTCCTACATCTCTAACACACCATGTACAAATGATACTTTGACTTCTCATAATGTATCTCATTCATAACCATGTAAGGTATACAGTGTTCCAAGACGCTTTAAGATGGTCTAGGATTGAAGATAACTGTAGAAAGAATAATAAGATGAGAGTTAAGGTCCTAAAATTGGACGACCATGTAGGGACTTTGATTGCCAAAATTAAAGACCTTCCTTCTTATTAGGATTTGAGATTTATTAGGCTGGACGTAATTTGGATCCCACCCTTGAAGTGTTGAAGTGGAAGGGTTAGCTTCTAGTAGCCCCAGCAAAGGTCTCATAAACTCTAAATCTGCATCCTATGAAAAATACACTCTTGAAGAAAAACCTAATCCTAGAACTATCCTGGATTACTTGCTGCAGTGATAAATGTCACAATCCTCCACAAAATTAAAATCAAGCTTTGCTGCTTAAGGATCCCATGGGTTTGGTCATTAATCTATTAAAAAGGGGATGTGTGAGACAAGATTTAGTCCTCAAAATTTGGAAGCTGTTCCCCATTGTTCGCTCATGTTTTTAGTTTTCTCCCCAAGTTTCATTAGAAGTCTATGAAGAATTTAGATGATCAGATATTATTATTCCAGTCTGCCATAAAAAACTTGTAAAAAAGTTAAAGAGAAACCTGCTTAACGATGAAAGGCTCTTCTGCAAGACTCAATGGCTCAGTTAAAATAGTAAGAAAACCATTCCGGTTCCCATAAACCATATCTGTGAAGGGCCGATCACCCACCTGCCATAGGCATAACCAAATAACAAAACAGATAATAAAAACTAACAAAAATATTCAATCATTTTTAGTATTTCTTAGTTACCATGACAAGTCGTAAGGATTCGCAGCCGAAGTGTCTTTCAATTTCTTCAGCCGTTCCCGCAGGTTTTTTCACCCCTAGCATTAAAAAAACGAAAGCACGGAATCAATGTTTGACTAATCATGCAATTGTTGGAGCAAAATAACAATATTCCACTGTCCTATCTAAGATTTTAAGCTGATATCTTAACCGTCTCAATTTACCTACAAAACTACCAAAACAGATTCAGACACGCAAAGAGAAGCTTAAAATAAGAAACAAAAACGTACTATGCCTGATTACTTTAATTCCAATAGCTCCCTCGAGAGCTCTAGCTTTCCTACCATCAGGGTCATACTCATGGAGTCCTAATTCGCAAAAGGAAGATCATTACAAAATAAATAAAAACCAACAAAATAACTAGCAAAGAAGGCAAATGGATCTGATAAGAATTACCTGCGGAATTACTAAACACAGCAACATCGTTACCAAACACAGATTTACACCGTTCCATAGAAGACTCAAGAGGCCCCCACAATGTCAAAGAGTAAGGAACAGTAATCGTGTTGTCCTTGTCAAAAACGACACCTTGAAACCCCTTCCTCTTCAACTCAACCCAATCAATGTACCTTATATCGGGTACAACGACATGCGGCATCGCCAAATGCCTGTGCCTTGCAAAAACTCCCACGGAACAAACAATTCCCTCCAAGTTAATCCTCTGCCCCAAGGCAGCCTTCAAGTCTGCCCACCACATGTTCGTCAAAATGACCTCACTGTCACTAGCCTCTCCCTCTGATTCCTCTTTATATTCTTCGATCTGGGTATTTTGGGTTTGACGGGCTGGGGCATTGGCTTCAAAGGAAGAGTATGATTCTTCCAAATACGAGCGTTTCTGATCTGAGTGTAGTGTGTTGTCCTTAATTTTCTTCTTTTCTTGCTCTTTACTACAACTGTGTGCTGCTGTGAGAGTGAGGGGAGGCTTGTTTGTGAAGTAGGTTTGGTTCCTGTTGGAAATATGCAGATGGTGGGAATGAATGTGTTTGGGTATGGGATAGTAGAAGCGTGCGTGCCATGGAACAATTGAGGTAGACTGCATTTCAAAAGTTACGTAGTTTCTTTACATTAATTTTAGAACAGGTTTGAAGAACCCAATTTTCAATTTGCAAGTGGGCTTCAGCTGGCAGCCGCTAGCTTACAATTTGTAGTCACGTGCTGCCAATCCAAATGGCAAGGCCAAGGGTGGGCACTTGCCTGATTTTCAGAAAACCCTTTTATATTCTAATTGTTTTAGAACCATGATTTTGTTCGTTTTAAGAATTTGTTCCCTTAAATTTGGATTTTTTGCACTTTGTACCCTAAAAGATATCTTGATTTTCCACTTTGTACCCTAAAAAAATATCTTTTTTTTGCATTGTATCCTGAATGTCATAAATTAGTTTTAATATGGCCCTCGGACTAACATCTATTTTAAATTCCGTTAAAAATTAATGCATTTGTTATCCACATGCGTTGTTCTTAGCAAAAATATAAACTCACTATTCATATCGTTGGGTGATATGTACATCAATTTTTAACGAAATCTGAAATAAATGTTAGTCTGAGGGTCACATTTGAATCAATTTATGACATTTAGGGTGTGATATGAGAAAAATAATTTTTCAGGGGTAAAGTGGGAGCTAAGATATTTGTTGGGGTGCAAAGTGCAAAAATCCCCCTAAATTTTAAAACTTTGTATAATAATAACAAAGTTTTTATTTTGAGATAGTTAGCGGTCTATTGATCCTTTAAAACCAATTTTATTCTTAAATCGAGTAAAACATATACAAAATATCATAGTAAACAACGACATTACATCTCTTCTGGTTGATGAATTATCTCCTTTCTTTTTTTATAAATAATTGTACAAATGCTCTCAATTATTTCTTTGTAAGTTGGTAGTTTGTGCTCTAATCCAAAAGTATTTTTTCTTATTTCAAATATTCATTTTTTTAGTAAGATGGAGGATGATCTCAACTAAGTGTCACAAAAAAATAAGGGATAATTTTATCATGGATTGTAGGTGAGATTTGAAAGAATATTTTGTTCCACTTTCAAATGATTGGGTTGAAATGTCTTTTGAAATTTTTTGGTATCTATTTTGTTTAGATATAAAAAAAACTGGTTTTTCAGTTTAATGTAACAATTTAGTATTAAATCTTGATATATTTTATTGTATCAATTAGTGAAATTTTTAAGTAGGATCCCCTCCCCCCCGCAAAAAAAAAAAAAAAACTACTAAGAAACCAGGCTCTGCCCCTGATGACACCTTCCACCTTCTTTTTTTTTTTTTTTTTTTGAACTCCTAGAATTGCATTCATTTAACCACTAGAAACTTGATTCCAGTCACTTTGATTACGGCCATTTTGGAGGATAACTTAAAACCTAGGTGGATGGCATTCTCTATCAAAATCTGCAGCAGCTTCAGCTCCAATAATGTAGCCAACTCAACAAGCCAAGTCAGCAGAGCAAGATCCAAGCTCATCAGAAGGCCTCAAGCATGGATGTATTGGAAGAATCCAAGAGCATATGGATGAGCTAGGAGTTTGTTAGAGATTTTTCTTTTATGTATACATCACTTGCACTATTCTTGTAACTAGTATATATAGATACATACAGATTTCTAAGTATTCTAAATGAATGAATTACAATTATTCCTTCTTCTCTTCTCAATTGCTCTCTACTCTCTACTCTTTGTTTTCTCTTTAAAGAAAATTCAACATGGTATCAGAACACCAATGGCTTCCAGAACACTAGAAAATCCTAGCAACTCTTCTACTTGCAACACCAACAATGCTCAATAGCAATTCGAAGGATCTTGTTAGTCCATATTTTCTTAGTCCATATGATAGAATAAACACTCTTCTCATTAATCATCCTCTCACTGCTGANTAGACTATTTGGGCTTAACCCATCACTAAGTATTCTAAATGAATGAATTACAATTATTCCTTCTTCTCTTCTCAATTGCTCNACTCTGGTAGAGATTATGACTTATCCTCAAGGCTACTTTATCGCACTAAAAGATCATTCTGGTGGAGATCATGACCTATCCTCAACGGAAGGAGGAGGTTGGGGAGCTTTTCATGAAACGTGGTCAAAATTTGGACCGTTTCCTTCGGTGGTGCAGATAAGCTTCTCATGCTCTCCTCTTGATGACGTGCTAAGCAAAAAGTCTAACCGGTCTTGGACTGTCTTGGGTTTGGTAGATTCAAAATGAGGTTGGGCTCCTCAATTGGAGTTGGACTTTAACACATAAATTAGACTATTTGGGCTTAACCCATCACTAAGTATTCTAAATGAATGAATTACAATTATTCCTTCTTCTCTTCTCAATTGCTCTCTACTCTCTACTCTTTGTTTTCTCTTTAAAGAAAATTCAACATGGTATCAGAACACCAATGGCTTCCAGAACACTAGAAAATCCTAGCAACTCTTCTACTTGCAACACCAACAATGCTCAATAGCAATTCGAAGGATCTTGTTAGTCCATATTTTCTTAGTCCATATGATAGAATAAACACTCTTCTCATTAATCATCCTCTCACTGCTGACAATTATCATTCTTGGGCTTGAACAATTCGAAGATCACTTCGAATCATAAAGAAATTGGGATTTATCGACGAAGTCTCTATAAGCCAACTAATCCTAATGATTCTTTAATGGATTCATGGCTTGAATGCAATGAAATGGTCATCAGTTGGCTCCAGAATCCCCATGTCCTCAAAAATCAAGAATAGTGTGGTTCATGTAAAAACTGCACATGAACTTTGGATTGAGTTGGAGGAAGGACTTGCCCAAAATAATGGTCCAAGGATTTTATGAGCTAAAACTATAAGGCTCCGTTTNACATCACTTGCACTATTCTTGTAACTAGTATATATAGATACATACAGATTTTTAAGTGATGATGCACAAAAATGGTTTTGTATACCACCTGTCAAGTGTAGGTAATAAATGTAGTGAAATCAATGAAAAAATTAAAGAAGACACAATTTATAGTGGTTCGGTCAATTCGACCTACGTCCACTCTTCAATGGCTTCAGTTGCCGGGTATTTTATTAATTCAGAGGTATGGAGAATAGAGATACAAGCTTTGAGAGAATGGAGAATCAAAGAAAGAGTGGTCTCCGGTCGTCGGTCTGTCCTCTGTAAGTGTTGGTGGGGCGTGACCTTCATCTCTCGTCTCCTCACAGATTGGGGCTACTTTATAGCAGCTAAGAGATCATTCTTGTGGAGATCATGACTTATCCTCAAGGCTACTTTATCGCAGCTAAGAGATCATTCTGGTGGAGATCATGACTTATCCTCAAGGCTACTTTATCGCACTAAAAGATCATTCTGGTGGAGATCATGACCTATCCTCAACGGAAGGAGGAGGTTGGGGAGCTTTTCATGAAACGTGGTCAAAATTTGGACCGTTTCCTTCGGTGGTGCAGATAAGCTTCTCATGCTCTCCTCTTGATGACGTGCTAAGCAAAAAGTCTAACCGGTCTTGGACTGTCTTGGGTTTGGTAGATTCAAAATGAGGTTGGGCTCCTCAATTGGAGTTGGACTTTAACACATAAATTAGACTATTTGGGCTTAACCCATCACTAAGTATTCTAAATGAATGAATTACAATTATTCCTTCTTCTCTTCTCAATTGCTCTCTACTCTCTACTCTTTGTTTTCTCTTTAAAGAAAATTCAACATGGTATCAGAACACCAATGGCTTCCAGAACACTAGAAAATCCTAGCAACTCTTCTACTTGCAACACCAACAATGCTCAATAGCAATTCGAAGGATCTTGTTAGTCCATATTTTCTTAGTCCATATGATAGAATAAACACTCTTCTCATTAATCATCCTCTCACTGCTGACAATTATCATTCTTGGGCTTGAACAATTCGAAGATCACTTCGAATCATAAAGAAATTGGGATTTATCGACGAAGTCTCTATAAGCCAACTAATCCTAATGATTCTTTAATGGATTCATGGCTTGAATGCAATGAAATGGTCATCACTTGGCTCCAGAATCCCCATGTCCTCAAAAATCAAGAATAGTGTGGTTCATGTAAAAACTGCACATGAACTTTGGATTGAGTTGGAGGAAGGACTTGCCCAAAATAATGGTCCAAGGATTTTATGAGCTAAAACTATAAGGCTCCGTTATATAATTAAATAAGGATAATATCATCTTAAGAGTTATTCTAAGATAAATAAAATAATGGTAAAAAACTTTGAATCATTGTTGAAATATTGATGATAAAGTTTGAGTTTCGCATGTATTGATTTTTAAGTTAAAAAGGGAAGATGAGTAAGTTTTTAAATATTTTTAGGTCAAAATAAGACGATCATTAAATTTGGAAGGTCAAGAAACCCNTTTATAATTAAATAAGGATAATATCATCTTAAGAGTTATTCTAAGATAAATAAAATAATGGTTAAAAACTTTGAATCATTGTTGAAATATTGATGATAAAGTTTGAGTTTCGCATGTATTGATTTTTAAGTCAAATTTAATTTCAGATGTGTTTAAGCTTAAAAAGGGAAGATGAGTAAGTTTCTAAATATTTTTAGGTCAAAATAAGACGATCATTAAATTTGGAAGGTCAAGAAACCCTTGTGAAAGGTGATATGGAATGCATTACAAGTTTGAAAGTGTTATGAGTTAAAACATATTTTAGAGAGAATTCGGGTAAGAAAGAATTTGACAATATCTAGTATTTTGGTCTTAACTTTTTATCCTGATGTCTAATTGAGCTGATTCTTTTGACATTGTAAAGTATACTTCAAGAGTATCATGAAATTTTGTAAATCGGTTTATATCTAGGTCCAAATCAACCGTGAAGTATGTAATAGAGAGNCCGATGTCTAATTGAGCTGATTCTTTTGACATTGTAAAGTATACTTCAAGAGTATCATGAAAATTTGTAAATCGGTTTATATCTAGGTCCAAATCAACCGTGAAGTATGTAATAGAGAGATACCCATGTTCGGACGGGAGAATAATGTGTACAAACGCATTCGGCAAAGAGTATGGTCCTAATACAAAAAAACACGTGTTTGAAGTCGGCCCTGATCTGTTTTGAGTGTTTTCTACGTTTTTTGGCCATATAAATACCTAGGGATATGTTTTAGGATTCCTATATATATTTTTCAACCCCAAGAAACCTAAAAGAGTTTGGCAAAAAGAAAAAGGAGGGAAAACAGATTAAATCTTGAAGGATTAACGCGTGANTCTGGATGAGTGTCTGAAGTCGGCCCTGATCTGTTTTGAGTGTTTTCTACGTTTTTTGGCCATATAAATACCTAGGGATATGTTTTAGGATTCCTATATATATTTTTCAACCCCAAGAAACCTAAAAGAGTTTGGCAAAAAGAAAAAGGAGGGAAAACATATTAAATCTTGAAGGATTAACGCGTGAAATCACACCAAAACATATTGGGATCAATTATCCAAGGAATTATGGTAGGGATTCTTTTTCAAACTCATTCATTGAGGAATTAAGTTTATATTATATGTCTTTTCATTATTTTTCGTAATTAGATGTTGATACACAATGGTTTGGATTTCCAATCAATTACATGTATCATTTTTAAGAATAAAACACATGATTTACATCACAAATCTCATGTTATTGGTTTAAAAACCCTAATTATTGATTATGGTCAAACTAAATACGTTTCTTAGTGAGCTCTTATATGTTTTCTTGAATTTATTCTATTTGGATAATTGTGGAACCATGATTTGTGTTATATATTAATTTTATAAAAAATCATGGAATTATCTATTGTATGGGAGGTTGTGATGAACGTGTGTTGCACTAGAACTTATATCCCAGAATGCGTAGATGAGTTTCTTACCTTAAGAGTTTGAAGGTTCCCTATCACTTGTAGTCGAATTGCTTGATTTATTACAAAGTTAAAAAATTATTACTATTTGCTCATAGTGACCAAGGCAGAGGGTCAATGTCGATGAATCGGTATATGTGTTTCTTGAAAATAGTATATCCTTGCAAGATTGATTGGATGAAATGAAAGTGAAAGAAAATAAAAACCCTAGAAAATTACTGTGGAGGGTGTTTTAGTAATTTTGATACTAATCCTATCGACTAACTCCACAATCTCATACTTTCCATGGGTTAGAGCTATCTGGATGAGAGAGGATTATGAGCTTGAAAAACTACGGGACGCGTTTTTAAATTACAACCAAAAGTCTATCCTGTTTAATATACACAAAGTAGGGATATGTGGTCCCTTTCACAATTTTAAATAGGGGTGTTCTTGGGCTGGGCTGGATCTGGGTAGGGTAGGGCTAAACTCTTACCTAGATGAGTTATCGGACTGGCCGGGCTAGACTTCAAGTATGGGTAGATTACCCTCAGCCTAATTCATCACTCACTAGGCAGGCCAATTGGGCGGGCTTTATATATATAAAAGTTTTCAACTTAATATTTTTATAAATTATATATTTGAATTTTTTTTCCTGGTTGAAGAAGAGAGATACATGATAGAGATTGAACTAGTAAAATTTTAGGTACTATAATGCTTCTATTCTACTCCTTGTGAAGGCCTGAGTTGCTTAGTCTTCCGTCACTTCTTGTCCGACCAATTGTGGTAGTTCCTTTGTTTTGAGTACGCTCTCATAGTGCATACTAAGTCCCTATTTAGCCGATCTGTGTGCAGTTTTGTTGGTTTCCCTGTATGAATGAGACATGTCCTAGTCCAAATGTAGTGCGAGAAGAATTTTGATGTCCGATATATATATCTGAATTAAACGTAAAATCAAAATGGATAAAAAATAAATAATGAATAATTTTATTTAAATAAAATATAGTCATACAAAAACTTTCAAAGTTTCAATGATCAATTCTTTTTAAACAATTGAGTGGAAAGACAAACTAAGCTTACGGGCGGGCTCTTGGCCCAATTTTAACAAGTTTTTACTTGCGAGTTCATGAGTTGGGATTCGGGTCGGGTAATGAGTTTGAACGCAAAGACAAACCATCTCTTAAAAGATATTTTGTTCGGATAAGTTAACTATTGAACTTATTAAATTTTAAACTTATGTTTTTTAGTTGAATAACGAGTTCTACGTGGTAACCCGGCCAATAAACACGCATAATTTTAACCCAATCCTCGTATAATCCTCCAAATCCGGGAACCAAACACCCCCTCGAGATTTCTCCCCTCGCTGGAGCAATAAATGAGTTCACCAATTTGGCTGAAGAAATGAGTTCATTGCTATATTTAGTTCACACTGCCGTTAGAATTCGCGTGTGGAGTCAAAGTTTCGCCATGTTTCAACGATTCAAGATTCTCCACTAAGCAACGCGCCAAGGAGACCATCTTTGAAAGTGACACACTGGAATTAATTAATCTAAGAAAATTCTCTCACAGTACAGTACACTGCTGCCACTAGTGTCCAATCAACGTTCCACGATGTACTGCTCTCCCTACTGCTATATCAGCTGAATGAAAGTCCAGCCTATCCTACTGTACTACTCAATCTCTCTCTAAAGAAATATCAGTTTCATACTTCAGTAGATAAATGAAGTGTCAAGTGAGTCTCCATGCATGTGGGATGAGATGAGAGTGATCTGCAACAAGAACAACCAAATGGGAGCTGAGCTTTTTGCTAAGAAGTTGTTTGTTTTACATGTCATTTGTGCCCTTAACTTGACCTTCTTCACAACCCTCATATTCGCAGTCACACCCAGACTCCACACGGACGAAGGTAACGCAGAAAACCTCTTCAATATTTGCCTATTCCCTCTGTTTGGCACGCAAGAAAAGTGATCAAATTCTTTTCTCTCTCTCTCTTTTTTTTTCTCCATTTTCTGAGGAACCAAAAAGAGCATAAGAATCTCTAATATGTTGCTTATTGATTCGTTTGATGGTGTGTGGTATGTGCAGTAGGGGCATTGAGGGATATTGGGAGAAGATTGGGGAAGAGGGATTGGGATTTTGGGAAGGATCCATGCAGTGGGAAAGGGAATTGGAGTGTTCCAATCACAAGGAAGGGCTTGGAGAGCTCTGTGACCTGCGATTGTTCTTTCGACCACAACACCACTTGTCACGTCGTCAGCATGTATGTATACACATTCTTTCTCCATCTTATAGCTTTTTTCTTTTGGGGAAATTCTCTATCTTCCATATAATTTCTGTTGAATAAGCTACAAAAGCATGGTAAGGATTTGGGTTCTTCAGATAATTTGCTAGCTTCTCTCTCCCTCTCTCCGACGCATGTAGATGTNTGTTTTCTTTTGGGGAAATTCTCTATCTTCCATATAATTTCTGTTGAATAAGCTACAAAAGCATGGTAAGGATTTGGTTCTTCAGATAATTTGCTAGCTTCTCTCTCCCTCTCTCCGACGCATGTAGATGNAATAGAGGACACCATGGGGTTACCTTTTTTTTATTGGATGTATCTATTGTTTTCGCTGCTTTGTTCTAGCAAGAGGTGAGACCATCCAAAAATTAGGTTGAAAGTTCAAGGCTTACAATCTCTATTAAGATTTGGTGATTGACTTAGTTAAGTCTGATTTTAAAAAATATTCCGAACACGATAAAGGGCCTTGTGATTTTCACTCAGAGTAGTCACAAGGCCCTTTAGCTAGTCGTTCTTGTCCCACGGATGTTGTAAGAGAATTGAAGAGTTTTTTGTTACCCAAAAAACAAAAAAAAATTACACGTAAATTATCTAGAGTGTTTGTTACTTTGATTGTACTTTCAAATCTACTATTGGACAATACCCCTTGTTTCAAGTATGTTCGTTAGAAAGNTCTAGAGTGTTTGTTACTTTGATTGTACTTTCAAATCTACTATTGGACAATACCCCTTGTTTCAAGTGTGTTCGTTTTCTTTTTAATTAACTAGAAACATCTTGATCAAAAAAAAAAATTTAACTAGAAAGAGACCAATGTGTATATCCATGACCATGAGCGATCCTTCTTTGAATTAAGGCCAAAATTAAACGGTGGAAAATAAATCTAGAGACCGTGGTACTAGTACAAAAGGTTGACTTTAAAGTGGGGAAAACGCAACCTTGTTAGTTGACTTGTTGACTAACTTGCATAGGCCAGCTGTACGATAGGGCCTCTATATCTGCGGACGTGTGGACCCCTTGCGTTAATGAATAAAGTTATTTGAATTAAAAAACATTTGATCAAAAAAAAAAATTTAAATATTTGACTTAATCTACTAATTTAATCATGTAATAATGATATATTTAATAATATTATTGTGACGATAACTATTAAAATTATTTATTAGAATTCTATTGCTTGAAATATTATTAGATTAATAAATTAAATTAAAAGTTTAGATGCTAATAACATTATTGTATGTTATTTTACACACTAAATCAGTCCCGGTTGTACAATTTAGATTGACAAAGTACAGTGTGCCCTTGTGCTATCTAACGATTCCAGTTCATGCCGTCGCGGCTCGTTTGGATAAATTTTTTAAGAGTGTTTGGATTGATTTTTTTAATTTTTTTTTAAATTTAAATTTCTCTTTATAAAGATGAGATGTAATATTAAATTCGGTCTATATCCATATTTAGTATGCAAATATAAGATCCATGAATATATCATAATTATTCATAATCATTTATCTTATAAATGACTATTTTATTTTTGATCAATCAAATTCATACTCATGTTAAATAGTACAATTGTCTTTTGTATTCTTAATTTTTTATCCCATTTTTCCAAACTCACCTTCTAGGTTTGACAAAACTCATGATTATGAATATAATATTCAGATCAATTATGGGTCGACTTTTAAAACCCAAAATTGAATTTTCAATTCAAATATAGAGTTTAGAGTTTTTTAGATCATTTTTTTCAAACCCATCTGTCCAAGTCCCTCGTACCTTTTCACCGAACAGCTCCTCCTAGTTAATGGTTGCACTAACCCCTAGTTTGGGGGTGTTTTTTATGAAGAGCAATGTTATTGTGACATAATTTATTAACTTAATTTACTATAATTTTTAAATTCACTGTGGAGCTCATCAAACATTAAAATTTGCTATTGATCTAATAGTTACAATGCAATTACATAATTAAATCAACAAATTATATTAAATTTTTAAATCTAAATAGTATTAGTCTTTTTTTATGGAAGAGGACCCCAGTTAGGAGAGCCAATTCCCGAAAGTTCTCACTTCATCCCACATTTTTCACAAAATTTTCCTAGTTACCCTTACTAATCCTTACAAATATTTACTCCCAAAAATCTAAAGTGGGTTGACTCGTCAACTCTTCGAAAGCCATAGGTCAATCCGCTACCGCCAAACAACTTAATAAAGCAACCATGGCCAAGCCACCACAAAACAATAACGAAAACCACCGTGATGGGAATGTATTTTTCACCAATTTTTCGTTTCTTTTCCAGAAAATCTTAAATGTTCCAATCAAAACGACGGAAAAAATAATTGAAATTTTANTTCGTTTCTTTCCCAGAAAATCTTAAATGTTCCAATCAAAACGACGGAAAAAATAATTGAAATTTTATTTTTTAGTGCTGGTTACACTATTTTCTGTAGAATGACAGAGGAAGAAGAAGAGAAAGGATTTTCCCTTTCTAGGTCATTTGTTACTATTGATGAAATTGGCAATCTGTTCTGATCTGATTTGCCTCTGTTTCTAACTTGTACAAATCTAATGCAGAGCTCTGAAAGCACAAAATTTTTCGGGAGGTGTTCCACCAGAGTTTGCCAGGCTTCGCCACCTTGAAAGATTGTAAGTAATTTACGAAAGTGATGAGACAATTGGTTTAGTTAGTAATATAATTTTTTTATTTTTTTGTATCAATGGGTAATTATATTTCAATCATCAAAGATTGCTAGTCCTGCATTGATTACTTCTTAAAATGCAGGGACCTAAGTCGCAACTACCTCAATGGTTCTATACCACCCCAATGGGCTACCATGCGCTTGGTTGAGCTGTACGTGTTGCTAACTCAATTTACTTCATTCCATTTCTTCTTGATAAGTTTTTTAAACATGAACATGTACGTGTTTGTTGACCAAATGCGCAGCTCTTTCATGGGAAACCGATTATCCGGTCCATTTCCAAAAGTTCTCACCCGCNGGACATGTACGTATTTGTTGACCAAATGTGCAGCTCTTTCATGGGAAACCGATTATCCGGTCCATTTCCAAAAGTTCTCACCCGCATCACCACCCTCACAAACTTGTAAGTTGAAGACTCTTTTTAGGAATGATTTTGTATGTATATAGTATGACTCCCACTCTAGATATTTTTAAATTTTTCTGCTTTTGCACTCCTTCCCCGCCCCTGCTATTGCTCTATGTAATCTGGATCACACCATGCCCAAATATAAATTTCAAATGTTATTACCCAATACCCGTGTCACTCTAACCCAAATTGGCCCACAGCCAACTCCTAACCAGCTTATTGGAGGAGCTACTCTGTCTATGCTGATAGATTTTGTTTTTCAAGTTAACATTTGTACTTCTAACGGCAGGAGCATTGAAGGAAACAACTTTTCTGGACCAATTCCACCAGAAATTGGAAAGTTGGTTAACTTACAAAAGCTGTAATTTTCTCTCACTCTTTTTTTTTGGATATCCCTTCTTGAATTTGAGCTGACCACAAAACCCATGATCCTTTTCTTCCTAGGTTTTTATTAATGTAACTATTGCTTTTCAGGGTTCTATCGTCAAATGATTTCACTGGAAAATTGCCAGCAGAATTTGCCATGCTGACCAACTTGAATGATATGTGAGTGCTCCTTTACTTCCTAATGAAACAAATGGGCATACATTATCTAATGTTTTATGATGATACCATATTAATACATATGAGGTATAGATAAGACTCAAATCACAATGAATAGGTAGGGAACCACGAGGACCTTTGCCGAGTCGGAAGGCCCAACCTCTACTTTTGGTCAAACCTCTAGGTCGGTAAACAAGCTAGACGAATAAGAGCCAATTGAGTATCCAGTTCATCCAGTTGGATTCTTTTATCCCCAAGCTGGCCGCAGCAACAAAGAAGGAGGGTAGCAATACCTGGGGAAGATCCCAGTTAATAAGGGAAGTCGTTGCCAATGTCTTATAAGTATCAAAGACCTTAACCAGAAAAGGACAAACTATAACAGACACATTCTTCACAATCAATAAGTTAACTTCTCTAGTCCGGAGCAAGATATTCCCTTCGAGNGTCGTTGCCAATGTCTTATAAGTATCAAAGACCTTAACCAGAAAAGGACAAACTATAACAGACACGTTCTTCACAATCAATAAGTTAACTTCTCTAGTCCGGAGCAAGATATTCCCTTCGAGTGGACTAGCCAACACTGGTGAAGCACTATAAACTTTGCTTGTTCTGTATTCTTAGATCATTCTTTACACAGTCACTTGCCAAGAACTCAAGCCTATCGATTTAAATATCGTACGCACAGGTTCTGCTTCGCTTCTAGTCTACACATCATCATCTTACACTCAAATGAGTCTTGGTGGCTGAACCATTTTAATCAATGAGCAGAATTGGTGGTACTTCTATCTTTTTGATTGCTTATATATTCTGGAATGATGCTAGTCGTCACAGTCCATTCTTTTTTTGATTTGTTTCCCCTCTTTCCAAGCTGTTTATCTGGGTTTAATAAGTGGCTATTGGTAGTTCCTTGTTATGATCTAAATGTTGAAAGGTAAATTTATTAGGATTTAACTTTCCATGTAAATGAAGAAGTATGGTGGAGAATATACAGCTGTTCCAGTCCCCTAGTTTTAGTTGTGATGATATATTGTTAGTTCTAAATTTTCCCATTTTACATTTATGAGTTGTGCTCATAACTTCTTCCAATGTTTGTTTCAATTCATTTTAGGAGGATAAGTGACAATAGATTCAGTGGAAAGATACCTGATTTCATTGGCAATTGGACACTGATTGAGAAACTGTAAGCTTTCTATGTTATTTTTGAATATAGAATCACTATTGATGCTGCATTTTTAGCTTCTTGAACTTCACATAGTGAGGGCAGTGAAATTCAAGAGCAGAATGCAAGGAGCTAAAAATGTTGCGTGCCAGTGGTGCTACGCCTACGAACGATAAAAGTTTCATTTTGTTTCAATTTAACGTTCCTTGAAAACGGAAACAATAGTGATTAGATATTGAAATTCGTATGTTTTGAGGTGTTTTAGATGTTTCGGAATATTTTTGAAACAAATTTTCAACATTTTCCTTTGTTTTCATTATACTAGCGAAATGTTTCCACATCATTTCTATTTCCGAGTTGACCGAAACTAAGTGTCGAAAAGATATTTTGATCTTTGGTTGCTATCTGTCTTGCATTAATTTTAATTTCTTTTTGAACATATCAATATTCCATTTATGTTACAGGCACATGCAAGGTTGCTCTCTGGAGGGGCCCATTCCTTCCAGCATATCTGTCTTGACAAGCCTAAGCGATCTGTATGCAATCTAAATGCTACATGCTTTCTCATTATAGGAAAATTTAAATGAAACAAAACGAGTTTATCAAGTAATTGTTTTTGCTTTTCTTTGATTATTAGGAGGATTAGTGACTTAAAAGGTAGAGGATCTAGTTTTCCGCCACTCAGTGATATGGAATCTATGAAGACACTGTAAGTCAACTTATGCCTCCTGCTCTACCAAACTCTGTTATAGCGTCGTAAATAAAAGATTAACTTTCACTATGCAACACAGGACACTGCGGAAATGCTTAATCTATGGAGGAATCCCTGGATATATTGGGGATATGACCAAATTGAAAAATCTGTAAGTAGTTTTAACTAATAGGCATATGCAATAATGGTTGAAAAGCACCATACATTAGCCTAATACTGTTGTGATTTTCAAGAAGGAGAGACAATCATATGTCACTTTCAAGAAGATAGGCTGGGCATACCAGCCCAAATAACTCTTCTGATTAAAATTACTCTATGACTACCTTTTCAACATTTTATTCTTGGTATTACGAGACTTGTTCAAAAACGCACACACTTCTTTTATATTCTTTTGCCAGTGAAACGGATGGAGAGCCAAAGAAATCCGAGACAAATGAAGCTTTTAACATGGGTTTGAAAGATCTCATTCGAATGTCAACCAATTGTGGACACAGTCATATGGGACCAGAAAAAATTTCACTAATAAATTGCATGACTCATGGCTGATACTTGACCATCTGTTCTCAGTTGTTTCTCGAAGTCTAATGTCTCGTATGTCTTTTCTATAGATGTTTCACATATATAAATTTTCACGTCTTGGCTGCCTTAGTGTTATTTTTTAAATATGAACTGGTTCTACCGGAATTGTTGATGCAGAGACCTCAGTTTTAATAACTTGACTGGTGAGATTCCAACATCGTTCATCCAACTAGCAAAAGTAGGTTTCATGTAAGTGGCTATTCTCCATAAATTCTTGCCTCTTAGCATCCATTTTCTCACTTTCATTAAGTTGAGAACATTGTTTGCAGGTTTTTGACAGGAAACAAGCTTACTGGACCCATACCTGACTGGATCCTATCAACAAACAAGAATGTGTATGCATATGTCTTTAGCATGTTTATTAGATGCTTTCATTCCCATTTCAGCCACAAGAAAGAGTTTCCACTGTGTTTAACCTACCAATTTTGGTGTAATTTCTACCATATCATGATTGATAGTTGAGAAATTATAGAAGAACATTACCTGGTGCTTGGAGGGATAGGCTGAATACAGCCCAACCTTAGGTATATTTGTGCCCAAGGTGGCTCTTCTTAGATTTTAATCCCTGTTCCCATGCTTGAGCTCAAGCACATTGGCATTGTAGTAGAACCACAACATGACTGATTGAATGCACAGTTTGTCAATAAATGATTTAACCATCAGTATTCCAACAAGAAACAAATGAAAATTTTCAAACTCTACATCCAAAATAAATGACATTTTTTAATGATATAGTGTTGACGATATACTTTGGTGTACAGAGATATTTCATATAATAACTTTACTTTGGAAAGCTCGACTCCAGTTGAGTGTCCTCGAGGGAGTGTGTAAGTGTAGTTCGATTTGTATTTTTTTTTGTATCCCTCAGCATTGTTTCGTCACAATAATAATCCTTTTCTATCATTGCTTCAGAAACTTGGTAGAGAGCTACTCGTCATCAGCAGATAAATTGTAAGATTCACGCGTGGATGTTTGTGTTGAATTTCTGGCGGACACCATCATTTTTTCCTCGTTTATTTATCGTTTGTGGACGTCGTGTTCTTTAAATTATTGCACTGGATTTGCTGTTGATCTCCATAATCAAAGCTTTGCTGCAGTCTACTAAAGATGCTTAGCTTTCCTTGGGCATCACAGGAGTAGAATTCATCCATGCCTAAAGCAAAACTTTCCATGTTCTGCTTTGCGTAATCAGCGTGAGTAAAATTCTTTCATTGTAATCGTGTGAGACTTAAATGTCTAATTCCTGTTTAAATTTTCACCTTTTAACAGGTCACTATTCCTTGCACATTAATTGCGGTGGAGAGGACATAGTTATCAATAATGACACCAAGTATGAAGCTGATTTAGAAGCCAGAGGTGCTTCTACGTTTTACTCTGGACAGAATTGGGCATTTAGCAGCACTGGAAACTTCTTGGACAATGATATTGATGCTGATGTCTATATTGATACCAACATGTCTGCTCTGTATAATGTCTCTAGGCCTGATTCAGAATTGTACACAACAGCGCGTGTGTCTCCCCTCTCTCTCACCTACTATGGGCTTTGTCTTATGAATGGGAATTACAGCATCAAACTCCATTTTGCGGAGATTGTTTTCACGAATTACAGCTCTTTTAACAGCCTTGGGAAGCGTATATTTGATGTCTACATCCAGGTAAATTAACTTGCATGAAAAAGACAAGGGGAGGGATGGGTAAGGGTTCCTCTAATTTCACATTTTGATGTAAACCTCCTTCTGTATCGTCTTGGGTGTAGGGAAAGTTGGTGCTGAAGGATTTTAATATTGCAAACGAGGCTGGTGGGCTTGCTAAGCCCCTTGTAAAGACTTTCACTGCCCTTGTTACACGCAACACCTTGAAGGTCCACTTTTATTGGGCTGGAAGAGGGACAACAGGCATTCCAATAAGAGGAGTTTATGGTCCTCTTATATCAGCTATATCAGTGGATCCTAGTAAGCTATTCTGGTCCTCAAATCTTCTGGAGTTAAACAAAATGGATCCTATCGTAGACAATGGTTTTCTGGGATATGATAAGGATCGCATTAGGGGACCCTTTGTCAATGGACCGATTAGATCTGTTATTTGAAATCACCAACCTAGTTCTTGATTTAGGAAGCACATACACTTCATTTTGGAGAGTGTTGGTGTCGGTCACATTTGGGACATGGACAGCTTTGGACATGTTAAAATGAGTGTCCAATTATTTTATTTGTTAGATTTTTTTCGAACATGTTTTGGACACGTTGGAGATATGCGGCCGACACGCTGGGTACACGCGGGCGACACATGGGGGACACGAAGCCAAAACGGTGGGAATACGTTTTGAGTTTTTTTTATTCAAATTTTTGAGAACTTTTTACATAACTTTATCATTAGGAGTACTTTTATAATTTTAAAGAAATATGAGTCAAAGTCATAATATAAAAAGTGTTATAATCACTATATTGAACGTATGACATGAATGTGACATACTTTGAGATACAAATACAAACTTATATACAAATAGAATAAATTTTTAATATGAAAGTAATGTGAGAAAAAATGGAGTTACAAAATTGGAGCCATTTGAGATTAATGAAAATTATGAAGTAAAAATGAAAGTTGGATTATGGATGAAATGGGAAAGTTGAATATTTGTGAAAATGGGATCATGGATGAAAGTTGAATATTGGTATATCTTATATTTTTTATGTAGTGGTATCATAAATACATATTATTTAACATATCCCCAACATGTTTGTTTCCTACTTTTTAAAAAAGTTTCGTGTTGGTGTGTCTGTGTCTTGTAGCTGTGTCTGTGCTTCTTAGTAATCTTGATTGAGACCAAAAGAATGTACTGAATCCCAGTAATTGCTGTTAACTGATTTTAGAGCCACTGACAAGGATAACCCATCAACCCTTCACTTACTTCCTTTTACTCTGTATAAGACTTATTTGAATTTTATTGGCATTTAAGGCAAGATATCCAAATCCCCAACTAGTTAAAGGAAATGATTCCTCTGATTAGTCTATGCATGACTATTGGGTTAAATTCTTATGTTGGGTTCCTGTTATACAATTTGAACTTCTATTATGCTTTTGAAGATTAAAACTCTATACCTAGATGTATGTTTTGCCTTATTCAGATTGGCAGTAGTTGACTGATCAGCGATATGGCCTCTGCTTGTGCAGACTTCAAACCTCCAAGTCATGGAAAAAAGGTCCAAGTCACGTTAGTGGTAGGGATTGTGGCTGGAGCAATGCTTCTTATCCTTCTGATTGTGGGAATCATGTGGAGGAAAGGCTGGCTGGGAAGCAAAATATCAGCAGATAAAGGTACAAGTCTCTGTAAATAGTTTTACAAACTAAATCCTAAAATAGTATCATTTCTCTACTTATGCAACATCAAATAAAAAAAATGGTGCCACGTGGGTTATATAGGCAGCTTTGACTGAGGAAACTGAGCTCTAGGACAGAACACTAGCCCACCCAGATGCATGTTACAAGAGTCATGGATATGTCTAGAAGATATCAACTCTTCTTGGCATCATATAGATAGCTGGCATGTCAAATATGTTGGGAAAAACCGTTTTGAATCTACAAACTATTTTTAAATATCATAAACATATACAGTTGAGTGTGTACATATATATAATTATCTCAACTGTGATATAAAGAAAGTAAACTCAAAAAAACAAGAAATAGAATAAGAAAATCTAGTTTGTGAGTGTTTGGGAGTCACATCAAGGACGCTGTCCTAAAGTCGTTGTCGCCTCCCTACATGCATGTTCTGGCGGTCAAAAACAACTTCAAGATTCAATCCAAAATGTCTCATAAAACGCCTAATGATAATAGGCAAAATACCAAGTCCTTATCAGTTGCCCAAAAATATATGAAAGTTGTATGTAGAGAACGTAGGAAGAAGAATAAACATATAGAGTTTTTCTTGAGAGATATATCCATCCAGGACATAAAATCCTGTATAAGTAGAACTCTTGGTGACTAGTCATTTGAGGAAAATGTCTAGTAACCAACTCCCAAAAGGACATGTCTTTTGGGTTTAAAAAGTTTTAAAACTTTCCAATTTTAGCTATATTTTATACATAATATCCAACAAAATATGTTGTGGACAACTATACATATATCTGTTTTATGGTATTAGAATTGAATTTAGATGAAAAGTCAAAAATATAATGATATATATAGTGCAAATTTGGGTGTATGACGGCAGGTCGTTGTCATGTTCATATCACACCTTCAATTATCTACAAGATTGGGGCATCCACATGTATTTTCCCTTGCCATCTCCATGGCCTCTATATCCATGCCAAATAGGGTTGCATGAAACCTATCCCACTAGTTTTGCAAACTAAATGCTTAGGCAAGTGTTCAACAATCAAGATTTCTTTAATTAGCTTATTTATAATATGTCTTTGTTTTTTTTTTCTTTAATGAATCTAGTATCCTTCTTTAATCATACTTTCATTTACCTTAAGCGCCACATGGATCATGGACTCCATGCATAGTATCAAGCACGAAATATTTCTTTTTATAAAATAATTGTTCTTGAATTCCTCATCTTGTCTCACTAACAACTTTTTCCCTTTCTATGGTTAAGATGATTTTTTTGGGATCTTTTTCAGATTCAAGGACTTGATGTAAAAAAAAAATGAAATTTAAGTGAAAAAACAAATACATAACGGGACTCTTCTAATTTGTTTGTATTAATTTTGAAATTCAATGTTGCCTCTTCAGTGGTTAAAACATCTTTACCACTCATAAACCTGTCAATTCCCCCAGTTTTTTGGTTGTAGAATTTAAGCATCTCCAACCGATATCACGATCTGGTTAAATGATGTGTTCCAAATTTAAATTAGACACATTTTCAGCAACATGGCCTCTAACGGCTCACAATACTGCATATTGAACAGAGCTTAGAGGCCTAGATCTACAAACAGGACTATTTACATTGAGACAGATTAAAGCTGCAACCGAGAACTTTGATCCAGGAAACAAGATAGGGGAGGGAGGATTTGGTTCAGTTTACAAGGTAATATTCTTTTTCATATAATTGAAATTTGCACATCCATACTAGGTACTGTCCTTATGATCTTCCTTCCATAAAAATGAGAACTCGACAAGTTAAATACAAATGTTAAAATAGATAGGCTGCGGCTATACCCACCCCACAAATATCCATTCCCACTTCTATTTAATTTTTTATTATTAAACTACTAAATTTACCCTTTCTATACCCACACCATTAGTAACTATGCCTATTATGTGCTATATACACCCTTTTAATAGGTAAACCCACCTATTTTTTCTTATAATTAGGGTTTGATTTACTGTCTCATCTCATACACTCGCAAAAACACTGTTTTAATATGGATTTATTTAGTGAGATGCATGTTAGTTATTACTTTTTAATTTAATTTTATGTTTGATTTTCTGTGTGCTATGTAGATTCTCATTGTTTTTACTTTCTTATCTTAGTCAAGTTTAATAATTTTTTATTTCGGATTTATATGTGTGTGTATATATATGTATGCATTCAGATTAGAGTAAGTTGTGGACATGGAATTCTGGAAGCTTGTATTTCAATTGTATTAGGAGTAGAATTGATGCTTTCTATTAGAATTAGAATTAGGATTTTATTTTATTGTTTTAAAAAATGGCAGTAGCTATAGACTTTGTGATAAAGTCGCAGATTTCAATAGAAAACTAATGGCCTTGTTTCATTTTTTCCCCAGCAATGACTTCTTCCTTTCTTGATTTTTCTTTCTTATTTTTTTTGTGCTTTGATAAATTTTGTGTTTGTGAGATTATTTTGAGTGATTGATATTTTTTAGATTTTACATAATTCACCCTCAAATAAAAAACATTTTCTAACATTATGCTGGAGAATCGTATCGTTTATGTATGTAATCTCCTAATTGTGAAAAAGATATGAGATGAGTTTATTTATTAAAGGGGTGTATATAATATGCGGTGGACTTCATTACTAATATGGTAGAGGTATAGAAGGGATGAGTTTAGTAGTTTGACAATAAAAAATTAAATGGGGGTGGGAATAGCCCCACCCAAATAGATATCGTAACCATCTAGAAGTTTATGTTTCAATTGGCAAACATGAACATCATTCCCCAATAGTGTTTAATGTGTAATTTTCATCTTCTGATTATAGGGTCTGCTGTCGGATGGAACAATTATTGCCGTGAAGCAACTTTCTTCAAATTCTAAACAAGGAACCCGTGAATTTGTCAACGAAATCGGAATGATCTCAACATTACAACATCCAAATCTCGTAAAGCTTTATGGATGTTGTGTTGAAGGAAACCAGTTACTGCTAATTTATGAGTACATGGAGAATAACTGTCTGTCCCGCGCTCTTTTTGGTGAGTTTAGTACTAGCCAAGGTGTGTCAACCAATTAAATAATCAGGAATTTTAGTTGGCATAGAAAACCAAATGCTGTGTTTTATTATCTTCAACAGGACGCAACTCAACATGCAAATTGAAGCTGGACTGGCCGACAAGGCGGAAAATTTGCCTAGGCATAGCCAGAGGTTTGGCCTACCTCCATGAAGAATCAATAGTGAAAATTGTACACAGAGACATTAAGACTAGCAATGTTTTGCTTGATAAGGACCTCAATGCTAAAATATCAGATTTTGGTTTGGCAAAGCTCAATGAAGATGGCAATACCCATATCAGCACTAGGATTGCTGGAACTATGTAAGTTTTTCTGTAATAACTTCTGCTCAATAGCCATGCCTCATACATAATGAATTTTAGCCTATTGTTGCATGGCTCATGCAAATGTATTGCAAACTCATGCGATCCTTTGGATCGCTGAGTTAGGATATCCGCAGGCAACTCGTGGATGTCCGACTATGGACGCAAACTCCAATACAGAGTGGATATTGTGATTCCTTTGTGGTTACTCATAGTTTCCTACATGTATAATTGAATTCTAGAATCTGTACATTTCGCTGAAATATATTGGCCTGTGGCTCTGCAGAGGTTATATGGCTCCTGAATATGCAATGCGTGGTTACTTAACTGANAAAATTGAATTCTAGAATCTGTACATTTCGCTGAAATATATTGGCCTTTGGCTCTGCAGAGGTTATATGGCTCCTGAATATGCAATGCGTGGTTACTTAACTGATAAAGCAGATGTTTACAGTTTTGGAGTTGTTGCAATTGAAATAGTCAGTGGAAAAAGCAACACAAACTACAGGCCAAAGGAAGAATTTGTCTACCTTCTTGACTGGGTAATTAGAACATATGAACTACATATAAATAGATGGTATACACAACCCACAATTAACAACATATTTTGTTGAATTTTAAATATTTGCTCTGAAAGCATTTCATAAGTAATTTTTTGGGCTCCCGTGGATACATTCAGTCTTGTTATTTTTAGTCATAAAAACTGTATTTGGCTTATCATATATCTTTTTAGTCCTTAACAACTTCAAAATCACTCTTGATCAAACAACTTTGACTTGTGAAGTTGTCAAGATTTTACAAACATTTTCTTGATTTCTTGGCTTTTCCCAGGCCTATGTTCTCCAGGAGAGAGGGANAACAACTTCAAAATCACTCTTGATCAAACAACTTTGACTCGTGAAGTTGTCAAGATTTTACGAACATTTTCTTGATTTCTTGGCTTTTCCCAGGCCTATGTTCTCCAGGAGAGAGGGAGCCTACTGGAGTTGGTTGATCCAGACTTGGGTTCCGAATATTCATCAGAAGAAGCAATGGTGATGTTAAATGTGGCCCTCTTGTGTACAAATGCGTCCCCGACTTTAAGGCCAACGATGTCTCAAGTGGTGAGCATGCTTGAAGGCCGAACTGACGTTCAGGACCTTCTCTCTGATCCAGGGTTTTCATCTACCAATTCGAAGTTTAAGGCCATACGAAATCACTTCTGGCAGAATCCAAGCCAAACTCAAAGCATGTCAACTAATGGTTCACATACCGATTCCTCAATGTCAAACATAGAGAGGGAAGAGATTGGGGCCCTTTTAAGAGTTAGTTCTGTTATTTCTGAATAGTACTGACTCTTTGAAGAAACATTCGTATACAACAGCTACAGCAGCCTTCTGTTTATGTTTTTAATCTAGCTGCAACTTTATAATCCTTCCAAAATGTAAAGAATCTTTGCACCTTGAAAATGGGAGTTTATCTTGATCTCAGACTGATTCTAATTATAACTACTGAATTAAAAGGCATAACTTGTGAACATCATCTGATTTTATTGCAACTCAAGATTGTTTACAAGTGTGAGCTGGTTTGCAGGATACTGCCTCCAGTTTGGAGCATATTTTTGCGTAAAGGAGTTCATATCTGTTGAGAGATGGGGAGTCTAATTATCTAAGGGCTAACGTATATGTTTGGAATTCATACTCACCTAAAATCGTTTGGAATTCATANCAATCTATTCCATTGTCAAGATACTACCAAGTTTAAAGATTCAAAAGCATCAATGGAAGGGAGAAGATCGCGCTTTAGGCAACATCAAGAGATTCTCTGTTTGCACCATCTTACTTAGGACAAAGGTAATAANAAACATTTTCTTGATTTCTTGGCTTTTCCCAGGCCTATGTTCTCCAGGAGAGAGGGAGCCTACTGGAGTTGGTTGATCCAGACTTGGGTTCCGAATATTCATCAGAAGAAGCAATGGTGATGTTAAATGTGGCCCTCTTGTGTACAAATGCGTCCCCGACTTTAAGGCCAACGATGTCTCAAGTGGTGAGCATGCTTGAAGGCCGAACTGACGTTCAGGACCTTCTCTCTGATCCAGGGTTTTCATCTACCAATTCGAAGTTTAAGGCCATACGAAATCACTTCTGGCAGAATCCAAGCCAAACTCAAAGCATGTCAACTAATGGTTCACATACCGATTCCTCAATGTCAAACATAGAGAGGGAAGAGATTGGGGCCCTTTTAAGAGTTAGTTCTGTTATTTCTGAATAGTACTGACTCTTTGAAGAAACATTCGTATACAACAGCTACAGCAGCCTTCTGTTTATGTTTTTAATCTAGCTGCAACTTTATAATCCTTCCAAAATGTAAAGAATCTTTGCACCTTGAAAATGGGAGTTTATCTTGATCTCAGACTGATTCTAATTATAACTACTGAATTAAAAGGCATAACTTGTGAACATCATCTGATTTTATTGCAACTCAAGATTGTTTACAAGTGTGAGCTGGTTTGCAGGATACTGCCTCCAGTTTGGAGCATATTTTTGCGTAAAGGAGTTCATATCTGTTGAGAGATGGGGAGTCTAATTATCTAAGGGCTAACGTATANCAGGATACTGCCTCCAGTTTGGAGCATATTTTTGCGTAAAGGAGTTCATATCTGTTGAGAGATGGGGAGTCTAATTATCTAAGGGCTAACGTATATGTTTGGAATTCATACTCACCTAAAATCGTTTGGAATTCATACTCACCTAAAATCTTGAGCCTATAAGTAGTNTCTGTTGAGAGATGGGGAGTCTAATTATCTAAGGGCTAACGTATATGTTTGGAATTCATACTCACCTAAAATCGTTTGGAATTCATACTCACCTAAAATCAGAGTCAATTCATAGTAAATTTGGGCCCTTCTTTTTTCTTTTCAACGTTTGATTTCCACACGTGATATTCAATAGTCTTCCCGTCATATGTGAACCACATTGGGCTTGACTCTCATTTGAGTTCGGTCCATTACTCTCAACAAGCACCCGCCCAAACACTCTTTTTGCAAGAGCTTCGCTCTTTCTAGAACTAAACTTTTACCGCTCTTTATGAGTTATCACATTACTACTCTACCAAGAGCCTTGCACTAGACTTGCACCTTGCCCTTTTTTCATACTTGCTTTTTCATGACTTCAATACCAAGAACTTACCACTTTCCTTAAGAGCCATCATTAACAAGCACACTCCACTGCTTTATGGAGAGTTCACCCAAGATTGTCAGCTATTGATTCTAATACCACTTGTTGAGAGACGGGATGCCAAGTGATCCGAGGTCCAATGTCATGTCTAGAACTCATACCCACCTAAAAACTCAAGCCAATAGGTAGTGAGTCCACCTATAGTATATTAAGATACTTGTACTTCTTTTTCTTTTCGATTTGCAATTCCCACACACGTAATATCAAATAATGCCGTATAAGACTTTGTACCTTATAATCATGTTTTGAGTATAGTGCATTAGGTTTAGGTCCCTCAGGAGTGGTCCTGTGGTTTTTCCCAATAGGGTTTTCATGTTAAAATTATCTTGTGTTGTGGCTATTGTTGATTTACATATTTTTGAACACACACACACACACATTCAATTCCTCTCTCTCTCTCTCTCTCTCACACACACACACACACCATGTGTTTAATGATATGATTATTTGATTGATTAATTTTGTATTATCATCCTTGTGGTTTGATAATTGGTGAAAGGACTTAGAGGGATAAAGATGGTGGATTTGCATTGATTGGTTGTTGATTGTTGAATTGGGCATCTTGCATCCATACATTCAAATGAGGGTGTTAGAATCGTGTTTGCAAATGACTAATTTTGTGAAGATTTTTTGGAAATCTCNACATTCAAATGAGGGTGTTAGAATCGTGTTTGCAAATGACTAATTTTGTGAAGATTTTTTGGAAATCTCTATCTATTCCATTGTCATGATACTACCAAGTTTAAAGATTCAAAAGCATCAATGGAAGGGAGAAGATCGCGCTTTCGGCAACATCAAGAGATTCTCTGTTTGCACCATCTTACTTAGGACAAAGGTAATAATTTTAGNAGATACTACCAAGTTTAAAGATTCAAAAGCATCAATGGAAGGGAGAAGATCGCGCTTTAGGCAACATCAAGAGATTCTCTGTTTGCACCATCTTACTTAGGACAAAGGTAATAATTTTAGAGACCTAGATTTAATTTATTAGACTTAGGTTGATTATGTAAAACGAAATTGGTAATTGATCCATTAATGACTCCTAGGTGTTCTTGAAAGGATATTTTTTCTAAACCTTTATTGTGTTTTGAAAACACAGATTTGAGTCATTAATCGAACCCTATTAATCGAAAACAAGTTTTTGCTTGATTTCCAACTTAAAAATCAGTAGGGACCGCCTTATATTCTCTAACCTTCACTAGAGTGGTCTTAGAACATTTAGTAATAAAATCAGGAGAGGTTAAAAGAATGGACAGTGGAGACCACTCTTTGNTAGTAATAAAATCAGGAGAGGTTAAAAGAATGGGCAGTGGAGACCATTCTTTGGGCTGCTCAAGCAGTCCATGCTTTATTGCTATGGTTTGAATTTTTTTTTAATTCCATGGCCAGTGCTCTCCTGCTAGTTGAGTGGTCATTAGTGANTGGGCTGCTCAAGCAGTCCATGCTTTATTGCTATGGTTTGAATTTTTTTTTAATTCCTTAGCCAGTGCTCTCCTGCTAGTTGAGTGGTCATTAGTGGATTTGTATTTTCTTGATCCCCAAGGTAAATCTTATTCTAAGCCTATAAATAGAGGGTGTCATTCCTATGCTAGGATAAGCCTCTTGGAGTAAATTCAACCTATCTAAAACTTTGAGAGCTTGTGAGAAACCTAAACCCAAAGGCTAAACTCATCTTATGATTCCTATCCAACCTCACACCTTGGAGAATAAGAACTTGCAAGGTTCTACCGAACCCACTTGAAGAGTGTGCATACCGAAATTCTTGGGTGTGTCCTAGGAATGCTCGAGGCCTAAACGAATTGTGTGGTAGGGATTTCAACTGAAGCTATCCACGACATCGGTGGGTATATCCAGTGGAAAGATGTATTGAAGGAAATGAGTATCAAAGCATGATATTGATTGAGGTATAAGACTCCAGTATTTGTAGTTACAATGTTTTAAATCTCTTGCACTTCTTTCTCCAACAGTAACTAATTTTAATTCCCACTTTAGATATGATGTTTCTATATATGCAACCGATTGTTCTAGATTTGGGGCATATTGAGGTTGTAAAGTTCTAATATCTTGAAATTGATGGAGTTTAGTGATTGATAAGAAAAACTGAAGTGCTTCTTTTAGTACCCATCAAGACTTATAATTTTTTAAGATAAAATTATAATTTTTTTGAAGTGTAGGTTACAATTTGCAAAGAATATGATCAATCCTAAAATGTTGTAATCCACCCCAAAAGTTACAAAGTGAAAATGAAGGATCCACTCACTCCACATAAGAGAATGGCATTAGCAATAAAGAGATTGGTTTAAACCTATTTTAAAAACTTGTGGTTTTACATCCTTATTAAAATTTGCAAAGATTTTCATTCTCTAAACCTCACGAGGATAAAAAGTGATAACTACAAAGCTTTAGTCTATTACCAAAATCTCTCTTAACCTTCAAATAAATGTTTTTACTTTGACTACTTCAATAATTAGCAGATTCTGCCATTATATTGAAAGACTTGAGTAGATAACTTCAATTTCCCTAACAAAAGTGCTATCAAGTATAGATAGAAATAAATGAGTTCAAAAACTGTTCACAAAAGTAATAGGATATTTGTTAATGGATGATACACATAGTTTTGAATTAGTCATGCAACAAACTTAAAGGTATGTGTGCCACATTTTTTTTTTCTTATTTTTAAAAAAAAATTAAAATTACATAATAAATTACGACTTGCAATGGATAAATAAACTTATGAAATAATAGTCGTGTTTTATATCATATAATAAAAGAGTAAATATGGCATCGTTTATATGAGTGTTAGTAGCATAATATTACCAAAACATTACATGATATTGTATAAGAGTCCATATGCCTTTTAGTTGAAAAGGACATATCATAAGGTTTTTTGGATTCTATTAATAGTCATGACATCATCATTAAGTGATGTAACATGAATTTAAAATAAGAAATATTTATTTATTATTTTGTTAGTCAAAATGGGTTTTTGCTCTAGTTGGAGATAGTGGGAGAATATGCCATTCAGGTGGGTACTTTCATTTTTAACCAACACATTATTGGATTAAGTATTTATTACATTATTGGAATTATAATAAACACAAGTCATACATCATTGAGCTGCTAAGTTAACCCTCTCCCCTTATTTCAAAAGTCGACAAATAATTTCTTTTAACAGATATTTGTTTCAACCATGTGTTTTTAAGAATAATGGATGCAACATTAACTTCGTATACACTCAATCACCTATTAACCATGCTCATTGGTTAATCTCGGGTTTATGCATATAGAAAAATTAAGAATTTTGCGCCGACATAAAAATTTAGTGCCAAAAGTTTTGAAACTTATTAATCGTTCAAAGGCCTTCTACCCTCCTAACATTCTTTCCTAATCGAAACATAACAAACTCTCTCCCAAACCTTGTCTCTAGCGTAAAGTTTATTCAAAATCAAGTTAAAAGGAAAATTAGTCATCCATCTTGTTATTCTGAGGGGGAAAATCTGATGTGGATATTTTCTTATGATTATACACGTGGAAATCAAGACACTATACCTAGAGGGAGGTGAATAGATTTTTCAATTTTAGCCCAAATCAATTATATATTAAAACTTATATCTACCACAATTACCTCTTCCCATGAATATTAAGCAATTAATGTGAGACTCCTTTTAGTCACCACAACCCTTAACACACATGACGATCGAATAAATTAATATTCAATTAATGCACTCGTAATCAATCTCACGTCGATCCCAAATCTCAAATCCAATTGCACAACTATAGTTGAATGAATGTTAATCAATCAATTCAATAAACACATAGTGCGCAAGTGTGTTAACAATTCACGAGTGTATATGATAGAAAGTAAATAACAACGCAAAAAACCCTCATTGAGAAAAATCGCGTAGAATCACTCAGGGTTCACTAAAGACTAATTCACTATTTTACAAGTCAACATACAAGTATTCGAAACTCATACCTCAATCAATACCATGGTTAGATGCTCATTTCCTTGTTATGTCTTTTGACGTCTAGTATAACTTCACTTAAACCTCCCCGTCGCATGGTTCGTCTATGCCTCGATCGATTATGGGCACGCCAACAATCTTCGGTATAAAATAACCAATGATTTTTTCAACCAACAAGTTATTTAACACCAATTTTTTTTGAGGTTAGGTAGAATCACTAGTGATAATCTTTGAATCTAGACGATCTCAAGATAGGGTGAAGTTGAAGGTGGACGTTTGTATGAGAATTTTGAAGGGACTTTTTGAGGGTAATTTCCCAGGAGAGACATTTTCTGGTGAAGACTCCAACACCTACTTTTGCACCTCCTACTATTGGGCCAGGATCTTCTTCTATTGCTGCTACACTTTTCATTGTTGCTATGGAGAGTAGTAATGGAGAGTACACTACATATGGGAGGATGATGGTTCAAATTCTGATTGACTTGATTTTATGTCCCTAGTTTTATGTTTTTATTTTGATTTTTCTTGTTTTCGGGTAGTAATTAGGTTTTAGTACCGTAGGTTGTTTCTTTTTGGGTAGTAATAACCTAGTAGAAAAACCTTAGGTGTAATAAGGCGATTAGTTGTCTGTTTGTTTTATTTTAGTTTGGTTTTGTGTTTTATAAAGCATACTCGTGTTTGTAGGTAAATTAATGTAAGAATAAAGTTTTATATATATATTTTGATGCTATAAGACTTTGGCAAGGAGTTAGAGGAGCCAGGAATTGAGCCAGTAAAAGGACTAATTCTACTAGTCGGTTTTCTTCCATGTGGCAGATTGAGATTCTACCAGTAACAGTAAATACCTACTAGTAGATGTAAAACAAAAACTCTTCTACCGGTAGGTTATTACTTTGATGCCCGTAGGTTTAAAACAAATAGCAATGAAGAGCTACCAGTACATGAGGAACAGTAACTTTCCTACCGGTTCATCAGTGTTTTAATCCAGCGAGAACTCTGTTTGGAAAGAATCGACTGGGGCCTTTTTTAAGCAGCCTATTGATTGGTGGAAAAATAAAAGGAAAGAAGTTAGCCAATAACTCCAATAAATACCAAGACTGAGGAAGGGAGAAGCAATTCAATTATTCAAGAGTCAATCCTTCATTATTTTATTTTATCCATTTCTTTTAGGTAGAATTAGGATTTACTCGTTCTTCAAGAGTTCTTCCATAGTTTTCTATTTCAAGCTTTGTTCCACTTTTAGCTATTTAATTTCTTGCAAGGCAAGTCCGTTGATTCTCTTTTATGTAATGATTTATAATTCTTTGCATTCAATTCAAGGTATTTACTTTCCATTGCAATTTCAAATCAAGTTCTATTTATATTGCAATTATGTTGATGTTTATTTCAATTGCTTTTGTTTTTACTTCCGTAATGAATGAGTAGTCTTATTCAGTTTAATCGGATGACGGAATCTCATCTGTGAATAGGGATTTCGACCTAACTAGGGTGTTTTCAAAGATTAAGCTATTTTATTGATTGAATAATTAATGTTGAAAACACCTATGATATGTATATCTTCTTACTTATCAGTAGAAAATTAGGTTTAGCACATATAATCCTTAGAATCACTACAAACCACGTGAATATAATTCTTTCAAAATTAAGTCTATCAATTTGAATACACATTTGTCATTTCATTGGATTTTAGTTGAACATTTTTCACTTGAGTGTGTTTGATTATAATCTTGAGTGAGTCATAGGATTAGGTCAAAATTACTATTCATGATGGGATGAGCTATAACAATTGATCAGTCTTATTTAATTAACTCGTTTTCGAAACCTTTTTTTTCTAAAATTCAAGAGTTTTACTTTTTCTTACTTATCACCGATCAAATTTAACCTTTGTTTGTCCTAAGGTGATAACATTGGTAATTGACCAAGTTTCCAAATGATACACATCTTGTGCTTGGGAACACATTTATATATTACCCGCTTTAGAGGACAAGCACTCTAAAACCATTTTAAGTGATCTTAGAAAACTTTAAATTCATTTTGAATCACCAATAAAGTATCCAAAATATCGAAGTTATCATCTCACTCATCCGGACCACTATACAAATCAAACACATATCCTAAAGTTTAGGACCTTCCATATTCAACAATAACATTATTTTGACATAAAAACTTTTAGAAATATACTTAGNATTTGGTGTACAATATTATTTATTCACCTGTTCTTCCATTGTGATTGTGAGTGCTACTTCTGATTGCATGTTATATTTTGGGAGAATAAATTGATTTTTGAGACTCCATTTAGTATGATGGAGATTTAGATTAAATTTCAGAATCATCTGTTTCAACTTAAGTAATTTCAAGAACCATTAAATGGATGTATTTAGATATGTGTAGTTAGTTTCTTCGGCATTAGTTCCCGAAAGATTCTATGGTCAAAACAATGGAGTTACTTACCAAAATAAATAAATGGAATTTATGGGCAACTATATTTTCTCCTGTTTTTCTCATGTGTTTTGAGATATATTTATACTTTGAACCTGAGAGAACTTTTCTATTTGTACTCTTTAGATTTTCTTTAAATATGGCCCCGTACACACCCCAGAACATCCTCATTACTGGTGCTGCTGGATTCATTGCATCCCATGTTGCTAACCGGCTAATTTGGAACTACCCTGAATACAAGATTGTTGTCCTTGACAAACTTGATTACTGTTCAAATTTGAAGAACCTGGACCCCTCTCGATCATCGCCCAACTTTAAATTCATAAAGGGAGACATTGGAAGTGCTGATCTTGTCAATTTTATCCTTGTCACTGAGTCCATTGATACAATTATGCACTTTGCGGCCCAGACCCATGTTGACAATTCATTTGGGAACAGTTTTGAGTTTACTAAGAACAATATATATGGCACCCATGTCCTTTTAGAGGCCTGTAAAGTCACTGGTCAAATAAAGAGATTCATCCATGTGAGCACAGACGAGGTGTATGGGGAGACAGATGAGGATGCCGTGGTTGGAAACCATGAGGCATCACAGCTCCTCCCTACAAACCCATATTCTGCAACGAAAGCGGGGGCTGAAATGCTCGTCATGGCATATGGACGGTCCTATGGGTTACCAGTTATCACTACTAGGGGAAACAATGTTTACGGGCCCAATCAGTTTCCCGAAAAGTTGATTCCCAAGTTCATCCTCCTAGCAATGAGAGGATCGCCTCTTCCAATTCATGGGGATGGATCTAATGTGCGTAGTTATCTTTACTGTGAAGATGTTGCCGAGGCTTTCGAACTCATTCTTCACAAGGGTGAAGTAGGCCACATTTACAATATTGGGACTGATAAAGAAAGAACAGTGATTGATGTTGCCAAGGATATTTGCAGGCTATTCTCATTGAACCCTGATGCAGTAATTAAATTCGTGAAGAACAGGCCTTTCAATGACCAGAGGTACTTCTTGGATGATCAGAAGCTGAAAAAGTTAGGGTGGTCAGAACGTACTACCTGGGAGGAGGGTCTGAGGAAGACTATGGAATGGTATGTTAGAAATCCTAGTTGGTGGGGAGATGTGTCTGGAGCACTGCTCCCTCATCCAAGAATGCAGATGATGCCTGGAATTGAAAGAAACAATTCCGACATTAGTATTCCTGCTTCCTCTTTTGCAGCAAATTATTCGGGTCAGAAGGGAATGGTGGTGCCAGTTTCTAAAGACAATCATGTTGAAAAGGCACCTTTGAAGTTCTTAATTTATGGTAAATCTGGGTGGATTGGGGGCCTTCTTGGAAAGATTTGTGACAAGCAAGGGATACCCTTTGAGTATGGAACAGGGCGACTTGAGCAACGGTCACGACTGTTGGCAGATATTCAACGTGTAAAGCCAACTCATGTTCTCAATGCTGCTGGAGTGACTGGTAGGCCTAATGTGGATTGGTGTGAATATCATCAACCTGAGACTATTCGGACCAACGTTGTTGGTACCTTAACACTGGCAGATGTTTGTAGAGAGCATGGGATCCTAATGATGAACTTTGCTACTGGTTGTATTTTTGAGTATGATGCTGCACATCCCTTGGGGTCTGGCATTGGGTTCAAGGAGGAAGACACCCCCAATTTCACTGGTTCATTCTATTCGAAAACCAAGGCTATGGTAATTTCTTTTAATACCCTTTTATCATTATTTTTTAGGTGCAAATTTTGGAACAGAGAGCCTAATTCAGATTTATTTATTTTTTCCTTGTTCTTTCCAGGTCGAAGAACTTCTGAAGGAGTACGACAATGTCTGCACTCTCAGAATCCGGATGCCAATATCCTCTGATCTCAGCAATCCACGTAATTTCATCACCAAAATTGCACGATATGACAAAGTGGTGAACATTCCCAATAGCATGACCATCTTGGATGAGCTTCTACCCATTTCAATTGAGATGGCGAAAAGAAATTGCAGAGGTATATGGAACTTCACAAATCCTGGTGTTGTAAGCCACAATGAGATTCTGGAGATGTACAAGAACTACATTGACCCAAGTTGCAAGTGGGTTAATTTCACACTTGAAGAACAGGCCAACGTAATTGTTGCCCCTCGGAGCAACAATGAAATGGATTCATCCAAGGTGAAGAATGAATTCCCAGAATTGTTATCTGTCAAGGAATCACTGATTAAATATGTTTTTGAACCAAATAAGAAAACTTTACTGCTTGAATGTAAGACAGGCATTTGATACACTTAGACATCAAGAAGGCATTGATCTATACAATTCTCATTATCTTGATTTCTTCATTTATGAAGTGTGTTACTTAGGGTGGTACCAAGGTGTTTTTATACTATGTTTTTGTCGAAACTATTGGTCGAAGACAGTGGAAAATCAGTTGTGGGTGAATTCATTTAATTTCTGGGATCTCCAGTGTAATTTCATTTGATAAATTATGTAGCTGTTGTTCTTTAAGTACTTTTTGTAGTACCTTCTCTTATACTCACATACCCCAAAAATTCAGAACTCCCAAAATGTTGCTGAGGAATAGGGCCATGCACCACACTCAGGCGTTGTCTTTTTAGCAGGTGTTAATGGAGTGAAACTTGTTTGAGTTGTGTATTCTTAGATTCATCTTGGTTGTGATTGATTAAATTTGAGCTTGACTGGAGTCTATATTCTTGCTCAAGCAGAATTTGGTTAGAAGCTTACAAGCATTCGAGCTTAAAACGTTTTTAAAATCTCAGCAAAAATATTCAGAAATTACACCATAAACCTTAATAATTAATATTAAAATGGTCATTCTTCAATTAAAATTCTTCAAAGTTTGTATAATTATCTAATCAAACCTTGAAAGTTCAAATTTCCCAATAGTTTTTTTCATGGAGAGAGAAAGAACAATACAAGGTATGGAGCTATTTGGCGATAAAAAATTATAACAACAACAGGTAGTAACCTCTTCCAGACACAATAAGCCTATTCGAGTCGAGCCATACATCGGTTGAATTAAGCTGGTTTACTCTATTCAAATAGGGTTCGTTTTTTAATTTGAATGACGTTGAACGAGTCAAAATTAAGTCAAACATGAGCTAAACTAGAGTTAATCATCTCCTCTAGTGACCCGGAGCTAATAGTCACTATGAGACATAGAAGATGTTATAAAGCATCTCCAACAGATGATTTAAAACATACAAAAATTTTAAATTTTAACTATTTAGCCCAAAAATTTTATTACAACAGATTATCTTCAAAACATCTAAAATAACATTTTGCTACAGTGATACTCTAAATATAGCGATATGTAATATTTGACTGACATATAATATTTTTTCTCTCTTCCTTTTCTTTCTTCCATTCTCTCTCTTCCTCCCGCTCACTATTCCTAAACAAATAATACAAAAGACATAAGAAATAATATTTAAAATGAGTAGTTAAAAATATTGAAAATCTGTTGGCGTATATATTGAAAAAGTTAGTAGCTAAAATAGAAAATATTACTTTTTGAATAGCTAAAATAATTTTTATTGTTGGAAATGCTCTTAAAATGGTAATTTCCTACACAAGTTTGTTTTTTTTTTTTTAATTGTATCAACTTTTTGAAACTACATATTATACTCTTCAAATTATGTTTTTATCACATTTTATGTCACTCAAATTCTTAAAATTATACTTTATGTGTTGAATTTTATTTTATCTACTCAACTATTGATTTGACCATATTAAACTATTAACTATTAAAATTGTGAATTTTTTCATAAATTGCTAAATTTTGGTAGTATACAAATTTTTAAATTTTACACTGCTTTAAATTATTAATGGAACAATAGGATCGAATCAATAATGTAGTAATAAAGTAAAATTAGTGTCATAGCAAATTATAATAAATTCAAATGCTAATATAAAAAATTAACAACCATTTAAAATATATATTTCGGAGATCGGTTTTCTCTTCTCTCTCTCTCTTCAAATTTGGCAAAAGTATGATGAAATCAAATTGTATCCGTGTGATTGTATGATGAAATTAAACTCAAATTATTGATTATATGATGAATTGATTTGGCTTTTTCATCTAATAATTTGACTAGTTTCAATTAATTTTTTTCATTTTATTGAAAATAATAATTACATTATACCATATGAGATTGTTTCTTATATATTTTGTGCGTGTAAAAACATTTTGTTATAATGCTATTTAACCCTTTCAGTAGAAAATCTGACTTCGTCCCTAATCGACAAAATATAAGCTTGATACACTCTAAAGTTTATAAACGTGTAATACTTAAATCTCTCAAGTTTAAAATGTTATATTTAGACCAAAAGTACTTCAATCAAAGATAGAATATCAAATATTTTAAATTTTACAACCAAAATATATGTTATATTATGATATTTATTGAAATAAAATCAAAAATAAAAGCCTAATCTTTTCTTAAAAATTTATAATTATACTATCTATTAGAATTTTATTTGGCCGTTTAATTGATCAAATTAAACTACCAAATTACCCCAATTAAAATTAGAAGATATTGTGTCAATTACAGTTTGGCCTCTTATTTGATTTTTTAGTCTTATTCCAATAGATACTATAATTGTATACTAATTATAATTTTTTAAGAAAAAATTGATTTTTATTTTTAATTTTATTTCAATATATAACATAATAGACCATGAATTTTGGTTGTAAAATTCATATTCAATTATGAATGAATTAGACCATTTATTTAAATCTTTTTTAGTTTTATTCTAATAGATAATATAATTATATACTAATTACGATTTTTAAAAAAAAAATTAAATTTTTATTTTTAATTTTATTTCAATAAATGATATAATAAAATATAAATTTTGGTTATAAAATTTAAAATATTTGATATTCTATATTTGATTAAAATATTATTGGTCTAAGTATAACATTTTAAACTTAAGGAATTTAAGTATTATATGTCTACAAATTTCAAGGGGTCTGAGTATAATTTACTAAAAGACATTGACTGTAGGGGACTAAGTGTTACACACGTATAAATTTTAAAGAGTTTATTAGTAATATTTTAAATATTAAAAGATCTGAATGATTAAGTGACAAATCTCATAGAGTCTGAATATAATTCTCTCAAAAGTTAATGGGTTGAAACAAACTAATTAACTTCAAAATGACACAATCCGTAAATATGAATAATAAACGAAGATCCATTGGACAATCATTAATGTTTGCTCACAGGCTCAAGATGACTCTGAAGCTGAAATGAAATCATGGAGGATCACTAGTTGTCGTGTGATGTCCCAATGGTATTCGTCGTAGACAATGAAAGACTCCAATAATAGGAATATATTAGATGCGGTTATTGAACCAGTAAATTCAATTTAGGTGGAAATAATTAATTTAAAAGTTAATAGAGAGAAGAATACTGAGAATATTGAGAGAGAGATTTTTAGACTTTATATTTGTTTCGTGTGTGTATTTTCATTCAACTAAAGCCTGTATTGTATTTTATAGACAGAGATGTATTATCGATTTGACAAGAAGAAAGTTAGGAGGTGCTAGTCATGCAAGTGTGCCTTTATGAGAGTAGGTCATCAACCATGTGTAGAAGCACATTATTTTTTAGCACTCTTTTTTTTTATGATCATTATATTACGATAGTATTGGACTCATGAATGTTGCCTCATAGTAAATACAATAGAACGAAACTTGAACAAAGGAAAGAGAGTCAAATGTACAAATTGTCCGACTATGAGAACTGTAAAATCCTTAACAAGATGGCCCCTCACACCTTGAAATTTTTCTCTTGATCTATTGACAATTCTGAAAAACCTGAAAAAGAACTAAATGCTTGGTGAAGGCAAAAGGAAGCATCAACTAAATAAAGTTTAAGGTAAGGAGGTTTTGTACCTATCCTCGTAGGTACATCCCATCTCACTGGACTTAGAGCGCAGTCCTCCACAATAACCCATTCCCCTCTTGAAAAAAAAAAATCAAGCCTTGCAACCATGACAGTTGGAGCATAGCCCGATAATCAGCTTTCCCGCCCTCAGGAAGAAATGGTACCAACATCGATTCGGAGTGGAGTTCTCTTGTAACGTATAGGCTGTAAAAAATTCTTCACAAGTGGGAGAAGCCCCCAGGCCATGCACTCGTTGCCACAGGGAGATGAATGCCAACAATACCCTTCAACCATTTGGAGCAAGTCGTGTAGCTGAGAGAGAGAACTGTGCCAAAACACGAACACGGACATAAGAATGAGAAATCTTAAACCTGCATCTAGCACTTCTTTGTAAATTACAATGTCCCCAAAAGAGTCATCAGAAGCAGCCTTGCCCGTCTCGGGCCGACAACATAGCATAGTAGGGGAGAATACAAAAGGTGGAGACAATCCTAACAATCTCGACATTGATATTAATAGTAATACAAATGGAGCTCACTTTAGAACCATCGTCATCAACAACCATTACATTGTGACACCTGTGTCACATTGTGCGTGGGGGAATGTTATTTTTACCACCATCACCTCTCGTCACCTGACTACCCAAATTATCCATGCCCTCGTTACACCCATCACCTAGCTCCGCCTGCACCTGCGCCATCTATGCTAAAGCACCCATACTTGCTCCGGAACCTACCCTTGCCCAAGCGCCTGCTGTGTCCTTGCCTCCGACGACCATGGTGCCCCCTGCCTTTGAAGACCATGACACCCACCTTTCCTGCTCCGCTGATGGCACCCAACGCCTGTCCCTGAGCCAGCCTCGCCCATGGCACTTGCTACAGCGCTGCCCTTGGCACCGACACCCTCGCTAGCCGACTCCTCAATGTCCACCCTCTGCTTCTCACCTCACTCATTCATCTCACATTTTTCTTTTTGGCTCAGGTGTACCAAGAGTGTTCTTTAGCTTTCAAGATTAATGTCTGGTCCCCTATTTAAAGGATGAACTAAAGAGTTGTTGCTAAAAAATTCTTGCTGCTAAAAAGACTATTGTTGTTAAAAGAGTACTCCTGTTGTTAAAAAGGCTATTGTTTTAAAAAAGAGCTATACTATTGCTACTAAAAGGGGACCAAGTCAACATTGTGAGATATTTTACTGATGCCGTCTTCCCCAACTCTTGGACTTGGGGAAAAAAATGATGAGCTCGGCCCAGAGAATTGAAGAAAAGCTTGGACAAGGGATACAAACCGAGAAAGGCCTAATAGCAAAGAATTCATCCATTCAGCATGAGAGTTGTCATTTCCCACGAATAGAACATGACACATAAAAATTTTATTTTTTTACTAAACTGTAGTTAAAGTTCAAATTCAGTGAAAAATAGACATTTTTTTAGAGAAATCTTGTGATTTGACACTGGTAGATCTCGAAAAAGTAATCCAGGTTCCAAAAAAAAATTCGCCTCAAACAAATAATCGAACACAAAGTTATAATCATTCAAAATTTTATCTCTTTTTTATGCTTTTCTCATACTCCACAGTGCCAATGACTAGCCAGGCATTGAGCACCCAACACCCAATAGCCACAATCCAGCTAGCACCATGCTCCTGTGCCTCGCGCCTTGCCCCCTGATGTTTTTCTGTGCCCTATACTCCTCTCTCACCCATACTCAACTTGTTGAAAAAGATACTCATTAATTTTTACTGGTGCCCTCTGCCCAAAGTTCCATTGGACTTTAGGCATGGGGCAAATGATAGGCCTAGCCTAAACCAGACTCATATTAGAGATGCAGACAGGCTCAGATTACGAGTATATTTAGGATAGCTTAAGATAAAAGTGTTTTTTTTGAATTTTTGACTTATCATACGTAGTTTTAACAAAAAGTAGTGTTTGCATTAATTTATTAAAAATACTTTTTAATAAATAAAAATAATTTTAATACTTAAATAAGCTATTAAGTAAAAGTAAAAAAAAATTAACTTTTACTTATGAGAAACGTTTTTAAATAAAAAACTTGTCTTTTCCCGATCTCACCCTACGGTCGGAACTGTGTCGATCTCACAACCATTTTTGCTTCAACAATCAAATCACTGTGCGCCATCACACTCTAGTGTCCTTTGAAGCTCTGCGCCATAGATGATCACCGCAATCGCTGTTCCGACGACATTCAGTGAGACTAGTACTGGATTTGAAACTGACCTTCAAGGATCGAGTTGGAATTTCATCGCCAGGTGATATTTCAGATCTGGGATTTCTTCTTCTTGCTTTCCTCTTATCCACGCTCGATCTATAATTTTCACTGAGAAATCGCTCAATTCGATCTGATTTCATCGATCTTTTAGATCAACTCATCTCAAAAATTAAGTTTAGAGTTTCTTCTGAACTTTATTGTAGATGAATTCTTCTGTATGACTCTTCATAAATCTCTACGAAACAAAGGTCTTCCTAAGGATCTTTTTGCGAAGGATCAAGCTTTACAATATCCACTTGGAGTATTGGGATCAGGAGCGTCTAAGCCATATTGCTAGTGGTGTTGGTTATCCCCTTTGTGCTGATTATCTTACAGAAACAAGAAAAGGAGTTAGTTTTGCGAAGGTAAGTGTTGAAATTGATGAGTTCTAACAAAATAAATGTAATTGTGATATAAATAAATATTTTTCTAATCGACAATCTAAACGCACTTTTTTCTAAAATCATGCTTATATAAATGTTTTTTTTTTTTTGAAGAATATCTAGACGATGTTTATTGAAAGAAGTGTTTTATGATAAAACATTTATAAAAAGTAATTAAACAACAAGTACTTTTAAATTTAATAAGTCATTCTAAACACAACTTACATATATGCAGATGCAGACCAAACACAGATTACAAATGCAGAAGAACAAAAATTCAGTTACAATTGGCATGCGGCAAAGCCTATTTTCCTAAGAGCCCCAATCTATGGGCAATGTAGGTGGGAGTCTCTCTATCAAAGGAGAAGAAGTCAGGAGCATACAATCATTACTCATCAGGGGCACATCGTCGGTCTCACAAGATTACCTTGCTTGTTATAAGATAGAGTGAGCTTCAAGAGATCACCCCTTTGTCACATCGCCTTTTACAAGGATAAAATGAGACTCCCGGCATTACCTGACTCACCTGACTCCTTGTGAGGATATCACCTCAATCAGAGCCTTTCAGAGTTAATTTTACTTGTCTATAAATTATAAGTCCCACTTATTCATGGAGGAGTGTATGACACACATATCAATACACTATATCTTTTAAGTAATAAGATTTTTCAGCCACCGTCGTCATTTTTAGTGAAGTATGTCATCCAGATCGAATTACTTAATCTTTGTGCTTGCTTATATTGAGCCCTCTTTATTTCATTTTTGATTAATTTTGTACTCTCTCCGTTCTTAAATATTTGTCGTTTAAGGTTTTTGCACAGTGATTAAGGAAGCTATTAAATAGCTCTGATATGAGTAAAAAATAATTGTATAAAACTAAAATACTCTTATTCAATACGTATTAGGAATGAAAGGAATATGAAAAGTACTTAGTTTCCATCTAATCTAATACATTGAAAATGTAAGGGTAAATTTAGAAAAAAAAATATTAATTATGCTTTGGTTTCATTAAATGACAGATATTATGGAACAAAAAAAATTGTATAAAACGACAAATATTTAAGAACAGAAAGAGTATAACTTTATTTTTGTGCATCATCAAATTGGTTGGTCTAGATAAAAAATTATTGTCAAACTTTTTTTTATATAAGTAATGCTACGTTGATCAAATTTTTTGATCAAATTAAGAGCTCAAATGACACGATAATATATTATTTGGAGTCTTTATTAGACCCCAAATGACATAACACCAAGTAAAGAAGTCTAAGTCAACTACTATTGTCATTTAAACTTTTGATTTAATCTAAAAATTTAGTCAGTATTGAATTATTATTTCCATATATATTCTCAAAACTAGATGCTTCGAGGGTGTGATGTGTCGTTGGGGACAATGTTTTTCGGCAACATTACGGGGTCTTGGCATGCTCTTAATGATGAAAATGAAAGCATTCACTAATCACCCGCTTTCCCTTTGGTTCTCTCTTTTTGACTTCATTTGTTTTTATCTTTTTCAAATTCACACTACCACGTGGCAGTAAGTAATTGGTTTTCAAATGGTAATCTCATGCAGAACTATATATTTCCATTTCCTATTATGCATTTTTCAATTACCATGTACTACTTGTTTTTTTAGGCGTGTCAATTTTTGACTCGAACATGAACTCGACTCGAATTGAACCTGACACAAATTTGAAAATAATACGATTCATTGACACGAGGAATAAATGAGTCAAATTAAGGTTGACACGAATAACACGATTAATGATTACTATAGATAAAAAATAATTATTTAATAAGTATTTTAGATAGAAAATAAGAATTTTATAATTTTTTAAATAATATTTTATTAGTTGTTGTCAAATTAAATAATTTTTTATTAATATAAATATTGACACGAACCCGACATTTATCGAAAGTGATACGACACAAAAATAATACGGTCGAAAATGACACGACATTAAATGAACAGGACACGATTGTGTCGGTGAGTGTTGGAGAGAGAAAGAGAGAGAGAGACTTGTCTGTGTCGCAATGTGTCGGTGAGTGTTGGAAGAAAAAGGTCAAAAGCGTAATTATGGGGAAAGCCTAGGTCAAATTGAAGCTTTCATCCTTGTATTTGGTGGAATGCACATTGTGGGTCCGGATTCTCTTTCTAAATGGAATTAACAAGGACTTCCACATTCCACTAATGAAATTAGATATAATATCACTACAAATTCATTTAGAATGCACGTAATTGTTAGTAAATTAAGTTGGTTATGATAATAATTGAATTATACAAGATTAATTATCCTATATATTGGGTTATTATTAGATATTTATATTAAAAAAAAATATTACAGTACTTAATTTATTGGATTCTCTTAAATGTCCACAAAATAGAAAAAAAAAACTATTATAGTTTTTATTTTAGATAAAATATATTTTCTAAAATAAAGAGCATCTCTAATAAAAATTTAAAAAAAAATTGAAAACTTTTAAACAATTTCAATAGATTCTATATTCTAATAGGAGATACCTCTATAGTCAATTTTTATTTAATAAAAAAGTATATGTGTCAATTTTTTATTTAATAATAACAGAATAAAAAAAATTTATTAAAAATTAAATTTTAAAAATCCTCTCTCTAAAATGGAGAATTGAATACAGATAAAAAAAACCTAAAGGTTTTTTAATTTTATCCTCTTATAAAGATTTTAGGGGTGGAGAAGAGCCACCATACACGGTGGTAAATATATTTCCCGCGGGTTTTAACGCGGCATTGGCTTTCGGATTGATTTGATATAGCCCCAATCTCCTCACGGACAGTATCGCCAAATTGATTAGTGGACAAAGGAGATATTTTATTCTTTACAAACACAAGTGCGTGATCTCATTCTTTCTTTTACAAGCAATCATCGCCGATATGTATTACACTGTAGTACAAGATATGCATGTAGAGTGGATATATATATAAACACATATATAAAGCTGAGATTCAACCAGTAGTCCTGATGGAAGCTGTAAATTGCAATATCTACTGATTTCTTCCAAGGTAATGGTAAATTCACTACTTTTGATCTCTACACAGACATACACACAAGTACTTGCATCTCTTTTTTCATTGTCTCGCTCGCTCTCTCTCTCTCTCCCTCCGTCTCCCCCTCTCACTATTATTCACTTTTTAATTGGCGGTTATTGTGCGGACAGGGTTATTGGATGAGGTATCTGTAAGCAATTAAGAATAGATCTTGCATTTAGATGACACCATTCTTCAAGAAAAAGAAGAGGAAATCGAAGCTACGAATTGGTTAATGAAAAGCATCGA